TCTAAAAAGTAAAAAAAATTGTTTAAAATATTAAAAAAAATTCACTAAAAAAAAAATTTACAGAAAATTAATCAAACAAGGTAAATAAAATTATGAGTATATACTTATTGGAAATGGGGTGGCTGATGTGTTCCAGCATAGTAGTCACTGTTGTGCGCCTATATGTACCCATTTCGAGGCCCGTTTAATAATCCAAACAGTTACTTTTTAGAATATATCAAATAGAATAGGTCAACCATGGCGTTACTCCGACTGTTCCGGGAGGACCGCTCAGTCATCATGAGCGCCCAGAGAAATTTGCTGGGGTGAACTTCAAGAGGTGGCAGCAAAAGATGCTGTTCTACTTGACCACGCTAAACCTTGCAAAGGTTCTGAGCGAGGATCCTCCAACCGTGGCAGAGAATGAGCCTGATAGGCAGAAAGTCATGGCGCTTGACACATGGAAGCAGGCAGACTATTTTTGCCGGAACTATGTGTTTAACAGCTTGGCAGACTCACTCTATAGTGTGTTTTGTTCCAAGAGCTCAGCAAAAGAGTTATGAAAAGGCGTTAAGCCTTCGTATAAATTCTTACGAATGTGGGGGTGTCTTGCAAAAGTGGCAATTCCTACACCCAAACGGGTTAGGATAGGCCCGAAATCCATGGATTGTATATTCATTGGTTATGCACATAATAGTAGTGCATATCGGTTTCTTGTACATAAGTCTGAAATTCCAGACATACACAGGAATACCATTATGGAGTTAAGGAATGCATGTTTCTTTGAAGACATTTTTCCTTGCCGAACCCATGAAAGGGTTCCAAGGTCTTTGGAGAAATTTGATGAGCTTGCTAGTGAGGATGATCATATTGATGATTCAGGTGATGATCAAATTGAGGTTTTAGATGAGCCCAGAAGGAGTAAAAGGGCTAGGATATCTAAATCTTTTGGTCCAGACTTCTTAACTTATATGGTTGAGAACGAACCTCAAACTTTTCACGAAGCTGTGACTTCTTTTGAGAGTCCTTTATGGAAAGAAGCAATCAAAAGTGAGATTGGCTCCATCTTACAGAACCACACCTGGGAGGTGGTAGATTTACCCCCAGGTTGCAAGCCTTTAGGTTGCAAATAGATTTTTAAAAGAAAGATGAAGGCCGATGGGTCAATTGACAAGTATAAGGCGAGGCTCGTTATCAAAGGGTACAGGCAACGAGAAGGCCTGGATTACTTTGATACGTACTCACCTGTTACTAGGATAACATCCATTCGAATGGTGATTGCGATTGCTGCTTTGCGCAATCTAGAAATTCACCAGATGGATGTAAAGACAACTTTCTTAAATGGAGATTTGAATGAAGAAATCTACATGGAGCAACCTGAAGGATTTTCAGCTCCAGGGCAAAGCAGGAAAGTTTATAAACTTGTCAAATCTTTGTATGGTTTGAAGCAAGCGCCTAAACAATGGCATGAGAAGTTTGACAACGCAATGTGGCAAATCTTCTGGAATAAGAAAGAAGCCCTCTAAGTTGGGGCCTAGAGGTGGTGTTGCAAAGAAGCCGGCTTACAAGCCACCGGAACCAAGTAATCGGTTCTTTGGGAAGTGCTATAACTGTGGTAGCAATGGGCATCGGGCTAGTGACTGCCACAAGCAGAAGAAGTCATACAAGACTAAACCTCGTGCTCATATGGCAGATTTACAAGAGCACTCCCATGAGGAGGATGATATGCACTTGTCTGCCGTTGTCTCTAAGGTGAATCTGGTAGATTCAATCTCATTATGTTGATAAGATAGTTGAGAAGTTTAGTGGATCAGATACGAGTGTGTCTTCGACACCTGTAGACTTAAGTCTACACTTTACCAAGAATAATAAAGAGAGTGTCTCTCATTGGAAGTTTAATGTATCTGATGAGTTGTACTAGGCCGGAAATAGCTTACTCGGTTAGTAGGCTTAGTAGATACACAAGTAATCTCGATGCTTCTCATTGGAAGGGTATTGTGCGGGTGTTAAGGTATTTACGCTACACTCGGGATTATGGGCTGCATTATACTCGATATCCAGCGGTGCTTGAAGGCTATAGTGACGCAAATTGGATATTAGATATAAATGACTCAAAGTCCACTAGTGGATATGTGTTCACTCTTGGTGGAGCAGCGGTGTCTTGGAAATCTTCCAAACAAACGCGTATATCTAGATCAACGATGGAATCAGAGTTTATTGCTTTGGATAAAACAATGGAATAAGCTGAATGGCTTTGCCATTTCCTTGAAGATATTCTAAGTTGGTCCAAACCTGTGCCTGCTATTTGTATTCATTGTGATAGTCAATCTGCAATTGGTAGGGCACAGAGTAATATGTATAATAGAAAGTCTAGACATATCCGTCGTAGACATAATTCCATACGACAACTACTCTCGAATGGAGTTGTCTCTATAGACTATGTAAAGTCTAAGGACAACATTGCGGATCCGCTAACCAAAGGGTTAAATCGAGTGTTAGTCGAAACGTCGTCAAAAGGAATGAGGTTGAAGCCTTTGGAAGTTACCGGAATGGAAACCCAACCTAGTTGACTGGAGATCCCAAGATCTAGGTTCAATGGGACAACCTAATTGCGTATAACGGTGGTATGTCACTGAGGAGGTTAAACCTCCGGCCATTCCTTCTATCAATGATACCTGCAAGTGTAGAGGTTAAGCTGAGCTTTTAATGACTCTAGTGTGTTAAGCTATTGAGCTGAGTATAGCAGGATACTCAAGTAGAGTCACCTATGTGAGTGTGAAGTGGGGCCGCTTCTAGAAGAATTGGGCAGGCCAAGATTCTTTGAAACCACTCGCTGAACCAGGCTAGTGTCCAGGGCCACACAGGGCACACCAGTGAGAACAAAATGGTTGTAGGAGTAATTCCTGTGTGAGATCTATTGTCTCAGTTTACATAAACGGCAGAGCAGTTCAAGATGTCATATTCACTGATCAGCCAATAAACTCGATAGGTTTTTACTGGGAGAGGTTCAAAGCCAAAAGCTACCTTCTCTGATGTCGGGGTTAGTCCGTTGTACTCTCTCTCAGAGTCTTTATTGTTGAACGGTGTTCGTTTGTTGAGTCATTCGGTCAATTTTTATTCACGTGGGGGATTGTTGGAAAAAATGGTTTTTTGGTGACTTTAATTAAATATTAAAGTGGGTCCCAACCATCTATTGTGTTGGGTCCAAGTGGGTCTAGATACTTTGCATTGAGATCTTTACACCACAGATAGAATGGCCAAAAACCATTGAGATTTGAATAAGAAATTATGGAAAAAAGGTAATGAAGTTTGTAACTCCTGCATAATGGGGTTTGTAACTCCTGCCTTTATTGTAGAGGTTAATGGTGCATTATGAACAGCTATAAAGGCTGGAGGCTCTTCCTCTCTCCCCTATACATGTATAAATTGAGACCCTCCTGTCAAGTCTCAAACACAGAAATTTTTACTTCCGTTTCACAAGTCAGTTTGCCTGAAAGTTCCTACAGTGAGAGAGTGCTGCCACTGTTTTGTTCGCTAAGCTAGACAGAGAGTGCTTCTGCCGTAGCTGGTTTTGACCGTCGTATCCTGGGAGACAGACGCTGGGATTCCTCAAGCACTCGACCAGTGAGGCGGCGAAATCTGTTTTAAGGAAACTGCTTCCGTGTAGGCTTCGGTTTCGTCTCTTTACCCTTTTATTGTTTTGTGTATTTCTGTTGAAATTTAGTTGTAATTATTAGCATGTGTTCTTAGTATATATATAATTTGATTTCTTCATAAATCTATTTATTTAATTTCAAAATTTGAACAACAGAATAAGCCTTACAAGGAAACCCAAATCTTCCCACAAATGTGGGTATAACACCACACACCAAATTGAAGTCTAAAGGCGCAAGGGTAGTTAAAAAGATTGAACTTAGATCATCTTCAATGTTTCATCAAATTTTTTTTTGTTTCCTAAGGTATTCCAAGCTTCTCCCAAGACTAATCCTCCGAGGTACGGTTGAGCACCAAGGCAAGAACCTCTCCAAAAAGGTTTGCTACATCCACAAGGGCTAGAACCCGAAACTACTTGCTTAAGCGACCAGGCTATTTCCACTAAGGCAAACCTTTGTTGGTAATGTTTCATCAAATTCAAATTTTATAAAAAATTAATTAAAACAATACTATAATAGTTCATCAAATTAAGGAAGAGTTAAATAAAAATTTGGGTAGATTACTAATGGGTCCTAATAGTTAGACTTAATTCTCATTATGTCCTATTGAAAATAAGTCCTAGTAAAATCGTCACTAAAAATAATTTTTTGCATATTGCTAAAAATTAACAATTAGTGACTTTTTTTTTTGTCAATAGTTTTTATAAATTGTCGCTAAAACTTACAGTTAGTGACGTTTTACTGTGTCAAATTTTTCAAACTTTTATAAACCTAGTAATTTTTTTTGTGATGATTTTTTAAACCATCACTAAAACTTATAATTAGTAATTTTTTTTGTAACAAGATTTTTAAACTGTTATTAAAAATTAACAATTAATGACCTTTTTTTAATAATATTTCACTTTGCTTGGTTCCTCTTTTTCAAAAATACTTTTCAGAAAATTTTACTTTTTTGTTTTCCGTATTTTTTTGTTTTTACTAAATTTTTTTAATATTTTAAGCAATTTTTTTTTTTTACTTTTTAAATATACCTAACATAAATATACCTAAAAAGTAAAAAAATTGTGAAAAAAACCTTTTAAAAATTCACTAAATACGAAAAATATATAAAAAATACAATAATTCAATACATTTTTTTTTGTATTTTTTTATATTTATTAATTTTTTAAAATATTTTTTATAATTTTTTTATTTTTTAGATACATCTAAATAAGGTATATCTAAAAAAAATAAAAATAAAAATTTAAAATTATTCATTAAAAAAAAATAAAATCAAAATAATCAATTTCTAAAAAGCTTAATCCAAAAAATTAAAACCAAACAACCTTACAAAAATTGATTAATGATCGCATGCTCTCAAATAATTTGTAATAAGATATGTGAACTGAGTTGGCTAAAGCATTACACTTTCATCAATGGCGCCCGAGACCCTTTCTCCTTTTTATCTTCTTCCCTCTCTCTCTCCACTCTCACTCCCTCACCATCTCATGATTCCCACCCCTACTCTCAGACTCTACCCTTCGAAACCAACCCTCATTTTCTGCAAATCCCTACAATCATCTCAAACCCATAAACAAACTTCATCAACATTTGACACCCATCTTTCAGTTTCCACACCTGAACTTGAAGGAATCGGAGCGGCCAAGCCAACCCGAGGGGAGGTCTTCCTCGAACACCAAAAATCATTGGCAGATTCAGCTCAGGTGCCCGCGGCGAGCAAGAAGAAGAAGAAGAAGAGAGAGAAAATTAGTGGGTCTTTGAGACCCTCTACAATTATTCAGAGCTGCTATGGTTGTGGAGCTCCTTTACAGACTGTTGAAACGGATGCTCCCGGGTATGTGGATCCAGATACGTATGAATTGGTATGCACTCCTTCTGGATGATTGTGATTTGGTTGTTTTGGGTCATTCAGAAATTGAATTCTATGTGTTTGGAACAATGCCCACCAAGTGTTTGTGATAAGTCAGAAACTGGGTTTTTGTACAGTGTATTTGCTAAATTTGAGTTAGATGAAGTGAAATGGCAATGTCTTTGAAACTATGCCCACGAATTGTTTGCGATAAGTTACTTTGTGGGCAAATCAGAAACTGGAATTTTATGCGGTGTATTTACTAAATTTGAGTTAGATGGAGTGAAATGACAACGCATATTAGATGTTTGCAGTTACTTTTGGCTACTGAGTTTAATGAAGAATGAAACCATTGGTAATGGGACTTGGTTTTTGTCATATGAATTCCAATGTTAAAATTTACAGTTTGGATTAGTGATGACTGCACTTTTGATATTATTTCATAATTTATCTCACAATTTAAGTCAAATGATTTGGCATTTTGTTTAATAGGTCATACTATGCAAAACATTAGAGATAGGTAAAGTGATATGATAATACCAATTACAAGGTAACATCTGTGATATGATGGTGTGTATTTCAGAACTTGGGTTTGGTTGATTGTATGATATGGTATGTGAAACAACTTTAGTTATATTGAGGTTGAGGTAGAGGAAGATTCCCATTGTTTTTGTTTTTTTTTTCTTCTTGGGATGCAGAAAAAGAAACACCACCAACTTAGAACCGTTCTTTGTGGAAGGTGCCGACTATTGTCTCATGGACACATGATTACTGCTGTTGGTGGAAATGGAGGTTATTCTGGTGGGAAGCAGTTTGTTTCAGCTGAAGAGCTTCGCGAGAAGCTATCCCACTTGCGCCATGAGAAGGCTTTGATTGTTAAATTAGTAAGGCTACATATTCATAATTTCATTATGCAAAAACTTTCATGACTTTCCCTTAACATGCTACTTTCAAAATTTAAAAAATGAGCCCCCTAGAACTGAATGAGATGTTAATTTCCTTGTTTATGTATTTATTTATTTATCATTTTGTGCATAATCATATGTAGGTTGACATAGTGGACTTCAATGGAAGTTTTTTGGCTCATGTACGTGATCTTGGTGGTTCAAATCCAATAATATTGGTTGTGACTAAGGTAATAATTTGTATTGATTAATTTTCAAAATTATATAGTTTCATGGTGTGTTTTTTTCCAACTAAGATGCACAATTTTCATTTTTGACAAGGTTGATCTCCTTCCTAAAGGGACCGACCTTAATTGTGTTGGTGACTGGGTTGTGGAAGCTACCACGAAGAAGAAGCTCAAGTAAGTATTGCACTTTATGCTCTTTCTTCTATTCTGGTTAGATGTTAAAGTGGTTTGTTATGAATGCAAGTTTTCTATAGCTGATCAATCTTTAATTTTGCAGTGTTCTGAGCGTGCACCTAACAAGTTCAAAGTCTTTGGTTGGAATTGTTGGAGTTGTGTCTGAAATTCAAAAGGAGAAAAAGGTTTGGCATGTCTCATTTATTGAATATATAGTTTAAATTAGCTGGTTAACAAAAGCTATTGACCATGATATTTTTCATGCAGGGACGGGATGTGTACATTCTGGTAAGTAACTTTCTTTTGAAAGCTTAAATAGACGCGCAAAGCATGATTGTCACATTGTAGGTCTATATTTGATAAAGTAATAATTTAGTTGGATTATTATGTTATTATTTAAATGTTCAATTGTGTTGTCATGGCATTGTTGCTTTTATTTGATTGCCCTCTCGAGGTTAAAAATAATGAAAGCATATCTTTTGCGATACGGAACCATACCCTTTTAGGCATGGTACTTGGAGGTTGGAAATGACAAGACATATATTCAAAAGAGCGGCAGTTTTGCGCACAAGCCATAACCTAGTCAGGAAACATTTACTTGTACAAAAGTATGAGGCCCAAAAGAGTGATGCTAATAGCCCCCACATGTTTTCTTAAGACTCCCCACCTTCTTGTTCCTTGGACCCCCACTGTAATCCAAAAAATATCCCTTTCTTTGGAACTCCGTCCCTGCCACAACTTTTCCTTCAACAACCCTCCCTCTTCATCACCGCCAACTGTGACGACCTCCCCCACTACCCCAATCATTGCCCACCACCCCCTTCGCACTTCTGTCATCAATCCAACCCTCTTTGTACCATTCTTCCTGTGACTCCCAACCTAGCCCTCCCCGCTTGGCGACTTATATATAATATAATATATATAGAGAGAGAGAGAGATTGGCAAGCGAGGGTTTTCATAGAAGGAAGGAGGGGGAGGTGCAGCTAGGATTGTCACGGTGGGGTAGGGAGCCTATTAGTCAATCTTGAGGGTTGGGAAAGGTGGCAGAGAGGGGCTTGAGGGGCCACGAGAGGGATAATGGTGGTGGGGATGGGATGGGGAGGGACAGGTGAGGGGTTGGGGAAGGTCGCCGGAGCTGGCGGATGGGCAGGGAGGTGCTAGCTGGAGCTGGTAGTGGTGGGGGTAGAGTTAGGGTTTGGAAGGTTGAGGATAGGGATAAGGATAAAATGGGAATTTTATGTTTGTAATTGTGCTATGTTTGAACCTATGAATTAATTATATTCCATTTTTGTTTAGAGGTTGATTCAATTAAGAATGAAGAGCCAGAAGTATGACTGGTGAAGTGAACAAAGATCAATCATTGGCTAAGATGTATGTAGGTTAGATCTTTGGTTGATAGACGGGGGCCTTGTGCAATGGCCAATGGGCATGGCATTTTTTATTAGTTAAATTTTAATTAATCAATTTCACTTTAATTTTTTGTATATTTTTTTTTGTGTTTACATATATGTGTTATAGGTTTTTCTTCTCGTGGTTGTGAAATCCAACTTCAAAAGGTTAATTGTACGAGTCAGTAACTCGTGATACTTCAAACATTTTGCTTGTATGTTTTCTTTCACACCTTTATAGTTTTAAAATTGCTTCTCCTCTAAATCTGTTTGATTTTGTCAAACTTATACTCGTATTTATTTGCAAAAAGTGTATAATGGGAGTTTTATATGATTTGTAATCTTTGTTTTGGTTTTCATTCATTTACTAGTCTCTTCTTTGGTATGTAAATTTTGTTTGCGTCAATTTTAATCCTGCTTCGATTTTTAAAAAAAATTTGCATTAATTTTTTATTACTATATTTTTATGACAAATGTGAATTCAAGCTTCATCCTTATGCAGGGCTCAGCTAATGTTGGAAAATCTGCATTTATCAATGCACTATTGAGTAAGTCAATGTCATAGATTTATGTGTTTGCTTGAGGTGACTGTTAAATAGTTTATTTGTGGATTTAGTAGTTATGCCATTTTAGTAGATCAGCATTTGATTTCATGTCAAGAGCAAAATCACAATAGCTATTACTGGCAAAGAAAATCCCTTAAGTCATGAATTATTTACAAGAAGAAATTTTAGAGCTGCAAAAGCCTTTTCGAGTAGGAGATCATTAAAGTACATCTGGTTTGCATCCAAGCAACAACTGGGAATTTGTTTAAAGCTAACGATTCTTCCCCAAAATGCCAAAGTACAGCTGACTTGCATCTAGCAAGATTTGCTTGGCAGAACATGATGAGGTCTCTCTTATCTCTCTCTTGTAGCACATGTACAAGTATTCTACCATGAGGAACCACTACCGTCACCACTATGTTGAATCTGAAGCAGCGGCACCCACAAAATAAAATAACAGGAGGAAGCTCTTAAAATCCATACACATATATGGGTTGCACCCCCTTTGATGCTCTTTTATATATGAATACCTTTATTTATCAAAAAAATAAGAAGTCATACACATGTGGCACACGCGACACACAATGGATGCCTCACACTTGCGTGCTCATCACACTTGAACCTTGGCTCGCACAGTAGTGGTGTAGAACTAGTCGGGCGGGGGAAAGAAGCTTAGAAGAGGAGAAGAAGAAAAGAGGGAAGGGAATGAGAAGAGGGGAAGAAGAACTAAAGAGGGTGATTGATTTTGCTGAGAGAGAGACATGCAAAAACCTCAGTTCTTAGTTCTCATAGTTCATTATACCATGCCCTATATGCATAGGCTGGTCTCAAGAGGGAAATAAGTTTTAAAAAAAAAAATTAAACTAGAAATTGAGAAAATAGAATCCTAACTAGATTAGAACTCTTTGTTGACACCTTGTTCGCCCAAGATATGTGTGAAGCTCTTTTTCTCCTTGATGCCTATTATCTAGGCTTTCACATATAAGACTTCCTGTTATCTTGCTAGTTTTATTGTTGTTTTAGAGGTGAGGATGTTATTGTAATTTTTGGATTATTGTTTGATATAAATACCGAATCATTTTATCTTAGACCAAAAAACCCTGTTTGTTTTTACCTTCTCATTTCTTTCATTCTCTTCTCTTCTCTTCTCTTCAATCTTTAGCTCTTCCAATGTAGACCCATGTTGTTTCTTGTATAGCTCACGGTTTGAGGTTCCCATTTGATTTCCCCAAGTTGGTTTATGGCTGACATTGTGCACTGAAGCAGTGTGATTGATCTGATGGGCAACGAGTCTCTAGAGAGAGGGGAAGGTTATGCTAGTGAAACAGATCTAGAGAGAGAGGTGTGGAGAGATTCTAGAGAGAGATGGTGAGACAGAGGGAGGTTGTGATGCTTCTCAAATTCTCAATGCATTAGAATTTGAAGTCGAACTTGAGGTCTTTTGGAAGCACACAAGCTAACATGAGCAACAAGGCCTGTGGTTCAGTTAGGTCATAAATTGGTCCAATTTATTTCTTAAAATTATGTGGACTGATATGATTGTCAAATTTTCGAGAATTCAGATGACATAAGCTAAATAAATGGGCTGTGAGAATATTCTTTGCTGCATGCCGAACTTCACATTATGACTTGGTAGTGGATGTTGTAAGGGTGAGAGAAAATACTGTGAGGGCACCAGAGTGAGCAATGGCTCAATTACCCTTGGGCATGGAGTTTGGATAGTGGTGTGGGTTTTGAGTGTTTTGGTCATCTCGCATGTATTCTCTATTTTATTCATAGTGGAAACCCTCTCCCGTGGATGTAGACAATTTGGGCCGTACTACATAAATCTCTGTGATTATTTTCTCTTTGTTTTGGGTGGGTGTGCTTCCGTTTGTGTTGGAGGGATGCGGAATAAGTGGTATCAAAGCGAGGTTAATATTCACACAGAAAAAAAGTGGGTTTGTGGTCATCGTCTCAACAATAATACAACAGCGGCATTGGTAGATTCAACCACAGTACGGGAATTAATAGAAGATTGTTGTATTGTTTGCAAGGAAGAAAAGTCACATCATCAGGTTAGTGGCTTCAAGTTGCAAAGGGGTTATGATCTAGTGTGGCATAGGCTTGATTCTTGAGCGGTTGACATATTTTTATGTTAGATCGGTGTGTATATATAATAGAAAAATTCATGGCAAGGGCTACCTCTAGGTTTTCAGGCATTGCAGATTCATTGGTATGGTCAAAATTTTCAAATTTTGAATAAGTTTAAAGGGATTGGACATATTCGGCGGTGATCTAAGTGATCGGGTTTGACCGCAAGTGATCTAAGAGTAATCTGATTCAATCAATAAGGAAGTCCAATCTTTGTAGGGCCAATTAGTTGGTATTTTTTCTGATTAGACATTATGATTGGCAACTTGTATTGGCTCGTGGAGTATGTTATGACAAGAGGGAAGCTACTATCAAACATCAGACGAGCAGTACGAGTCATGGGTGAACAATGTGAGCAATAATTGTAGGATACTTGCCAAAGAGGAAGACAACAGGTTGCAGATTGTTCACAGAAGGAAGCTTTGAGTGTAGAACTTAAGACAACTTCGTGATTGTAGACACCCCAATTTTGACCAATCCTAAGACTTGGGCACTTTCTTTTGAACATCCCATGATGAAAATTAGAATATGCTGTTTTATGCATTTCTCAGCAGAAAAATCAGATTGAAGCTTTAATCCCAAATCTCACCCTTTTTGGTCAAATTATTTTATATCACTAATATTTTATTAATTTGTAGTATTTTGATAATTTTATATATTTTTATATAATTTGATGTGTGTGTGTTTACATTTGGGTTCAATTGTAAAAAGGAACCCAAAAAAAAAGAAAGGGAAAAAAAAAGGGTGGGGTGGGAGTCCCATGAAGAAAGGTGGGGGCTAATAGCAACACTTGGCCAAAAACTATATATGGAATAAGAAATGACTTTCTAAAGGTATGTTCTTGTAATTGTGCTATGTTTGAACCTATGAATTAATTATATGCCTTTTTTGTTTAGAGGTTGATTCAATTAAGAATGAAGAGCCAGAACTATGACTGGTGAAGTGAACAAAGATCAATCATTAGCTAAGATGTATGTAGGTTAGATCTTTGGCTGATAGACGGGGGCCTTGTGCAATGGCCAATGGGCATGACATTTTTTATTAGTTAAATTTTAATCAATCAATTTCTCTTTAATTTTTTTGTGTATTTTTTTTTTTTTTGTATTTACATATATGTGTTATAGGTTTTTCTTCTCGTGGTTGTGAAATCCAATTTCAAAAGGTTAATTGTATGAGTCAGTAACTCGTGATACTTCAAACATTTTGCTTGTTTGTTTTCTTGCACACCTTTATAGTTTTAAAATTGCTACTCCTCTAAATCTGTTTGATTTTTGTCAAACTTATACTCGTATTTATTTGCAAAAAGTGTATAATGGGAGTCCTATAGGATTTGTAATCTTTGCTTTGCTTTTCATTCGTTTACTAGTCTCTTCTTTGGTATGTAAATTTTGTTTGCGTCAATTTTCATCCTGCTTCGATTTTTTTAAAAAAAAATTGCATTAATTTTTTATTACTATATTTTGATGACAAATATGAATTCAAGCTTCATCCTTATGCAGGGCTCAGCCAATGTTGGAAAATCTGCATTTATCAATGCACTATTGAGTAAGTCAATGCCATAGATTTATGTGTTTGCTTGAGGTGACTGTTAAATAGTTTATTTGTGGATTTAGTAGTTATGCCATTTTAGTAGATCAGCATTTGATTTCATGTCAAGAGCAAAATCACAATAGCTATTACTGGCAAAGAAAATCCCTTAAGTCATGAATTATTTGCAAGAAGAAATTTTAGAGCTGCAAAAGCCTTTTCGAGTAGGAGATCGTTAAAGTACATCTGGTTTGCATCTAAGCAACAGCTGATAATTTGTTTCAAGCTAACAATTCTTCCCCAAAATGTCAAAGTACAGCTGACTTGCATCTAGCAAGATTTACTCGGCAGAATATGATGAGGCCTCTCTTATCTCTCTCTTGTGGCACATGTACAAGTATTCTACCATGAGGAACCACTACCGTCACCACTATGTTGAATCAGAAGCAGTGGCACCCACAAAATAAAATAACAGGAGGAAGCTCTTAAAATCCATACACATGTACGGGTTGCATCTCCTTTGATGCTCTTTTATATATGAATACCTTTATTTATCAAAAAAATAAAAAGTCATACGCACATGTGGCACATGCAACACACAATGGATGACTCACACTTGCGTGCTCATCACACTTGAACCTTGGCTCACACCGTACCGTAGTGGTGTAGAACTAGTTGGGCAGGGGAAAGAAGCTAAGAAGAGGAGAAGAAGAAAAGAGGGAAGGGAATGAGAAGAGGGGAAGAAGACCTAAAGAGGGTGATTGATTTTGCTGAGAGAGAGACATGCAAAAACCTTAGTTCTTAGTTCTTATAGTTCATTATACCATGCTATATGCATAGGCTTGTCCCAAGAGGGAAATAAGTAAATAAATAAAAAAAAAAAAAAATTAAACTAGAAATTGAGAAAATATAATCCTAACTAGATTAGAACTCTTTGTTGACACCTTGTTCGCCCAAAATATGTGTGAAGCTCTTTTTCTCCTTGTTGCCTATTATCTAGGCTTTTACATATAAGACTTCCTGTTATCTTTCTAGTTTTATTGTTGTTTTAGAGGTGAGGATATTATTGTAATTTTTGGATTATTGTTTGATATAAATACTGAATCATTTTATCTTAGACCAAAAAACCTGTTTGTTTTTACCTTCTCATTTCTTTCATTCTCTTCTCTTCTCATTTCTTATCTTCCTTCAATCTTTAGCTCTTCCAATGTAGACCCCATGTTGTTTCTTGTATAGCTCACGGTCAGAGGTTCCCATTTGATTTCCCCAAGTTGGTTTATGGCTGACATTGTGCACTGAAGCAGTGTGATTGGTCTGATGGGCAACGAGTCTCTAGAGAGAGGGGAAGGTTATGCTGGTGAAACAGATCTAGAGAGAGAGAGGTGTGGAGAGATTCTAGAGAGAGATGGTGAGACAGAGGGAGGTTGTGATGCTTCTCAAATTCTCAATGCATTAGAATTTGAAGTCAAACTTGAGGTCTTTTGGAGGCACACAAGCTAACATGAGCAACAAGGCCTGTGGTTCAGTTAGGTCATAAATTGGTCCAATTTATTTCTTAAAATTATGTGGACTGATATGATTGTCAAATTTTCAAGAATTCAGATGACATAAGCTAAATAAATGCGCTGTGAGAATATTCTTTTCTGCATGCCAAACTTCTCATTATTACTTGGTAGTGGATGTTGTTAGGATTAGTCCGCCCATGTGATAAAAGTGGGTCTTATACAGTTATTAGGTTGGTTTATACATGTATTTGGGTTAGGATAGTAGAGTTCTGAATCTATTAGGAAACTTAATATGTGTAGGATTTGGTTACCTAATTGTATGGAATTAGGATTCTCATGGGTAGACTATTATAAATAGTTATGTGGACTATAAGGCTTTTCTGAGAGAGATTGAAAGAGTGGCGAGGGAAAAAATAAAAATGTAAGGGTGAGAGAAAAAATACCGTGAGGGCACCGGAGTGAGCAATGGCTTAATTACCCTTGAGCATCTAGTTTGGATAGTGGTGTGGGTTTTGAATGTTTTGGTCATCTCACATGTATTCTCTATTTTATTCATAGTGGAAACCCTCTCTCCCGTGGATGTAGACAATTTAGGCCAAACCACATAAATCTGTGTGATTGTTTTCTCTTTGTTTTGTGCGTGGGTATGCTTCCGTTTGCGTTGGTGGGGTGTGGAATAAGTGGTATCAAAGCGAGGTTAAATATTTGAACAGAGAAAAAAGTGTGGGTTTGTGGTCATCGTCTCAACAACAATACAACAGCGGCATTGGTAGATTCGACCACAGTACGGAAATTAATAGAAGATTGTTGTTGTATTGTTTGCAAGGAAGAAAAGTCGCATCATCAGGTTAGTGGCTTCAAGTTGTGAAGGGGTTGTGATCTAGTGTGGCATAGGCTTGATTCTTGAGCAGTTCACATATTTTTATGTTAGATCGGTGTGTATATATAATAGAAAAATTCATGGCAAGGGCCATCTCTAGATTTTCAAGCATTGCGGATTCATTGGTACGGTCAAAATTTTCAAATTCTAAACAAGTTTAAAGGGATTGGATATTCGGCGGTGATCTAAGTGATCGGGTTTGACCGCAGGTGATCTAGGAGTAATCTGATTCAATCAACAAGGAAGTCCAATCTTTGTAGGGCCAATTAGTTGGTGTTTTTTCTGATTAGACAGCATGATTGGCAACTTGTACTGGCTTGTGGAGTATGTTGTGACAAGAGGGAAGCTACTATCAAACATCAGACGAGCAGTACGAGTCATGGGTGAACAGTGTGAGTAACAATTGTAGGATACTTGCCAAAGAGGAAGACAACGGGTTGCAGATTGTTCACAGAAGGAAGCTTTGGGCGTAGAACTTGAGACAACTTCGTGACAAGATGGTACACCAAGGGAGGACACGGGTCTCTTTTCTATGAAGGTTTTGGTTCGTGGCAGCGGAGACACCTCAGGGAGGTGCGGTGGATCTCATTGGCTCGAGCATGAGGACAAAGGAAGCCACAAAAGACACGTTTGAGCATTATGGTTTAAGGTGCAAATAACATGGCACTTGGTTCAAGTGAGTGCAAATCTTCTAGGTGAAGGTGAAGTGTATCACGCAAACCAGGACATCTAGTTTGAAGGATGTATATAACATTTAGCCCACATGGGTGGTGGGGGTGATCCTAAAAACCTTTATCACATGGGTGGGCTAATCCTAACAGATGTATCTGTTGTATTTTTGAACCAGCAGCTCTGCCGTCATGTATTAATATTAGGAAATTTCATGTCATCACACTCTTGCTTTAAGTGAAGTGTCAATGTCAGAGATTATTTGTTTATTGCTCATCATTTAAAATAAGCATTATGCTCAGATTACACGTGTGCAAAAATTTTGCACACTGATGTTTTTGTCTATTTAGTTGATTTATTTTTTTATTATTGTCATTATTCTCTGTTGTGGTCTTCCCTGCTATTGATTAATTGACCATATTGTGATAGGCAGCTCTTGATTGATTGATTTAAACAACTGATTGTAAGTTGCTAAACCTTGGACCAGATATATATCACTCACTCTTCTTCTTAATGATGTGGAATGCTGAGAAATTAGAAAACCCTAGAATTTTGGTTTAAGTAACTGCAGATGTAAACCTCCAATTGTAAGAGTTAATGATTTATGCAGCATATGTGATGATAAATGTGAAAAATAGGTTTTTAGATACCTTATTTTAACAGGCTGGAATTGTTGCATTTTCAAGTTGTTGTAAACACCATGCTGGGAGCCGGTGCAGGCCAGTTCTCTTGTGTTTGACTAGTATCCTCGGCAGGCTTGCTAATTGAACTTTTTTTTTAATATGACTGAAGCACTTTCTTAGTTTTGTGCAAGAAAATATTGGTGATAAGAGTTTCGCATGGATAATATCTTATCCGGTTATTTCTAACATAAACTATCTCTTTTATATTTTGTAGCTGTTCTGTACCTTATTTCTTCCACCATTTTCAGCTTTTTTTTGTGTGTTTTTTCGAAAGAAACAGTTCGGAACTGTTACGTAACGGTGCGTAACAGGCCGTTACGATTGTTATGGCACCGTTACGACCGCTACGGCAGCCGCTACAGCCGACACACCTGTGAATCTCAATCACATTGCAAAAGCGGCCGTAACGGATGGCGGTAACCACAAAAACCGTTACGTAACGGTTGCGGCCGCTTTTTAAAACCTTGGGCAGCGGAGACACCTCAGGGAGGTGCGGTGGATCTCATCGGCTCAACCATGAGGACAAAGGAAGCCACAAAAGACACGTTTGAGCATTATGGGGTAAGGTGCAAATAACGTGGCACTTGGTTCAAGGGAGGTGCAACATCTTTTAGGTGAGGGTGAAGTGTATCACACAAACCAGGACATCCAATTTGGAGGATGTATATAACATTTAGCCCACATGGGTTGGGGGTGATCCTAAAAACCTTTTATCACATGGGTGGACTAATCCTAACAGATGTATCTGTTGTATTTTTGTACCAGCAGCTCTGCCGTCTTGTATTAATATTAGGAAATTTCATGTCATCACACTCTTGCTTTAAGTGAAGTGTCAATGTCAGATTATTTGTTCATTGCTCATCATTTAAAATAAGCATTATGCTCAGATTACACGTGTGCAAAAATTTTGCACACTGATGTTTTTGTCTATTTAGTTGATTTATTTTTTTATTATTGTCATTATTCTCTGTTGTGGTCTTCCCTGCTATTGATTAATTGACCATATTGTGATAGGCAGCTCTTGATTGATTGATTTAAACAACTGATTGTAAGTTGCTAAACCTTGGACCAGATATATATCACTCACTCTTCTTCTTAATGATGTGGAATGCTGAGAAATTAGAAAACCCTAGAATTTTGGTTTAAGTAACTGCAGATGTAAACCTCCAATTGTAAGAGTTAATGATTTATGCAGCATATGTGATGATAAATGTGAAAAATAGGTTTTTAGATACCTTATTTTAACAGGCTGGAATTGTTGCATTTTCAAGTTGTTGTAAACACCATGCTGGGAGCCGGTGCAGGCCAGTTCTCTTGTGTTTGACTAGTATCCTCGGCAGGCTTGCTAATTGAACTTTTTTTTTAATATGACTGAAGCACTTTCTTAGTTTTGTGCAAGAAAATATTGGTGATAAGAGTTTCGCATGGATAATATCTTATCTGGTTATTTCTAACATAAACTATCTCTTTTATATTTTGTAGCTGTTCTGTCCCTTATTTCTGTTTTGATTTTAAATTTATAATTTTATATGTGACAATTTGAACCATTCAACCCATGAACCAGCTAAATGGAAGGTGGGATATGTCTTTCTTTTAAAAGAAGTGGATTATTGAGATCTCTTGCTGCTCTCGTTCAACTAATTTCCATATCTTAAAATTCATTTCTCCAGAAAGTTCCCTCTTTCCTTTTCTAATTCAAATCTGTGGATTTTTTTTTACCACCATCCTACATATCTTGTTCAATTTTTTAAATTTTTATAATTTGTACTGATACACGGTGATTCTGTGAGCTATAGAAGGTTAACGACCTTTTTTTTGTTCTTGACCGATCCAATAACTGCCATATCGCTATCCTTGTCCTTCCGAGGACTTTTCCGAGAAGCCGTATATATAGCACACCCCGTTGGTGAGAGAGAGCCAACAAGACTAGACTGATAGTCTTCCTCTTGGCAGTGCCTGAACAAGTACCTGACCTCCTAGCCCTACATTGCCCGCTTGGAGCAGGGGGTTCCACATTCTATTGACCCTGTCTCAAATGGCGCAGACTTACTGATATTAAGAGGAGGGTTTTTTATTATTATTATTATTTTTTATATATGAAAAAATTAGGGACAGTGGGGAAGACAGAACTGCACTGCTTAATCAGACTTGTTTTTTGAATTTTGAATCATTATTTTCCCACCTTGATCTTAATTTTGAATTGTTTTTATGCACATGTTTGTTCTTTAGAATATGTATGAATTCATTTCCTTTCCTTTACGTTGCATTGTTGTCTGTGTTCTAATACTCTGAAGGTGACTCGTTGTTTGTCTATTTTGACTTGTTTGTAATTTTTGAAAGCCAGAGATGATGTCGTATAAGGATCCAGTTGCTGCAGCAGCACGAAAATATAAACCAATACAATCTGCTGTTCCTGGGACTACTTTAGGTCCAATTCAGATTGATGCTTTCATGGGAGGAGGGGTATGTGATTTTCGTCTCTGTTCTGCTGGGAGTGATGGCCAATAATACAAGTAATGACTCATTAAATTAAAACCACCCCATTTACGTTTGACTACTGGAAGCCAACAGTGAAATCATCCAACTGTAATAAAATTGAAAATCATCCAACTGTATTGACTGGTTCAGGGGTTATGTGTTCTGCTATATTTTTGTATTTTACTGCTTAACAATGATATGCCTGCCTACTGGGTTCAGTAAACCTAAACATTTTTTGGATTTTACCTGTGATTCACTTGATGTTTTCTTTTGGTTAAAGGATCAACTCTATCTTCTTCTTATTCTTTTTCTTAAATGGCTTTGTGCTTCACTGGATCAACTTTAATGTTCTGTGTCCTCCCACAATTTTTTTTAATGTTCTGCAATTTTTTTTTTTTAAAGCTAATTTGTATATATATTTTAACCATCATGTAGAAATTATATGACACACCCGGAGTTCATCTCCACCATAGGCAAGCTGCAGTGGTTCATTCGGAGGACTTACCTGCCCTTGCTCCCCAAAGTCGGCTCAGGGGTCAGTCATTACCAGTATGTTTTCTCCAATACTTCATTTAGCATCTCTGTACGCTGAGTGTTTTCAGGTATGCTAAGTCCTTTACCATACAAAACCAGAATTCTCAGGTAGCCTTAGACGAGTGGATGGCTGAGAAAATTGGATCCAATGGCTTGAATGGGTTTTCAATATTTTGGGGAGGTCTTGTCAGAATTGATGTCTTAAAGGTTTTTAAACTTATAATTCTTAAGTTTCTATGCTGGAAAACAATTATGGCCCCTATGGGTAGTTTGGAAATTATCTGGTTTTGACTTATAATGACTTTGATTTTTTCAGGTTCTCCCTCAGACATGTTTAACATTCTATGGACCCAAGGCATTGCAGATTCATTTGGTTCCCACAGAAAAAGCAGATGAATTTTACCAGGTAATTCCGAATTCCATTTACATGGTTTGATGACTTCTGCCTTTTCTTTTTCTTTTTTTACCATGCCTTCCCTCGAACCAATTATTGATGTTGCTTTTTGACCAAAGAATCATTCGCTCCACCAGTCCTTCCCTAATTTTCGTCTTGCTATATATACGTTCTGCCATCAAATTGCCAAAAGGAAAAAGTTTTAAGGGCATAACTAGATGTGTTTCTAGATGACTTCATCATACATGTGCAATTTACATGATCAGCAAATATATTTAATTAGATTAATGGGAATGAAATTACATTTGAATATTATGGCACATTAATGCCGTTATCTAAAACTTTTGATTACATAATAAAATGTAGTGTTTATTACACTTTACACTCCTAAACATCTTTAAATTATCCACTTAGTCCCTAAACTATCGATTGAGTCTATTAAGTTCCTAAAGTATATATAAATCAAAATCTATTTAGTCCCTAAACTATTAATTGAGTCTATTAAGTTCCTAAAGTATAGATAAATCAAGATCTATTTAGTGCATAAACTATCGATTGAATATATTAAGTCCTTAAGTATTTAATTCAAACCTATTTAGTCCCTAAAAAAATTATAAAAATAAATATAAGTTCATAACTATTATAAATTAGTAAAATACCCTATCTAGCTAAAATTTTATTTCAAAATACTTTAAAAAAAATTTGTCTTTGAAAAATGAGCATCAGCTCGTATGGTTTTTTTTTTTTTTTGTAATAATGCTAAGTGTAATTATCTATATAGATGACGCATACTTCCACTTCTTATTCAGGGACTCTGGGAATGAGAAACAGCTTTCTAAATCAAGAAGCTTACAACTACAATTCTTAAACAAACTCTCTCCTCCAGTATTGACCGGAAAGAAAATTGAAGGAGAGGAGGATACCTCCATTGGAGTAGCTTTAGTTGATTGTCTTACCGGACAAGTTGTTAATACGGGCCCTGAAGCCTCAGCAAAGGTGCAAATAGTAGTTCTTGACACGGATGTCAATGGTTATGACGGAGATAATTGGACACCGGAAGAATTCAAGAATAAGATTGTTGGAGAAAGGGAAGGACAAAAACAACTTCTTATGGGAGAAGTTTACCTTAATCTTAAAGAAGGCTGTGGTTTTATAGGTAACATTTACTTTAAGCATACCAAATGCTGGATGACAAAGAAAGAATTCAGGCTAGGTGCAAGAATCGTGGATGATTTTGATGGAATTGAAGTAAGAGAAGCAAGGACAGAGCCTTTCATTGTTGAGGATTCACGTGGAAAATGTGAGTATTTCTTGTTTTATGTACTTTTTTTTTTTTTTGGTATGTTTTATGAAACACTATGATCATAATTTTACACCACTGAACAATCACCCCTGCACCATGTGCTTGTTGAAAACTTTCGCTCCCTCTATCTGCAGATGGGTGTGAAAAGGTAGTTTTATGGGTCCCAGTCACCCCATCTTGTGGGTCAAATCAAAGCCGGCCAGTCCTTTGGAAAAACAGAAAACAGAAAACAGATCTATGGCGATATCAAACAACGAAGATTTAGGTGTAGGGAGTGTTGGTGTGTGTGTGGGAGTGTCTATCTACAACTACTGTGATGGGTGGACACTGTGACTTGTTTATCTTCACTAATCACCACCATTGACCCACCTAAACTCAGTTGCAATGGTAGTATAAATACACCCACAATTGAAACAAACCCTTTACTTGTTTTATCTTCACTAATCGCTTCCAGTGACCCAGAACCAGAAAAACTAAGCTCAGCTAATCTATTAATACACCCACAATTGAAACAAACCC